GCTCTCGCTGTTGTTCTTATTTGGATTCTCTCTTGGGAAGAACACTACAGGAAGGAAAAGCAGGCCCAGGCCAAGCCATGGCTGGAGAAGAAGGGCCGTGAGCTATTAGTTCTCCTCCTCACAAGCACACCGCTCCCAACGAGACCCCTGCTCCAAATGTCACTTGCCCTGCAACTCTGGTTTGGAGGGGGAAGTCATTCTGGTCTCTATCACTGGCATGAGAATTAAGGGCTACTGGGACACGGCACCTTCTCCATCCTAGTAAGGGTTGTGGCCATCCTCGACTTAGGGCCACCCCAGGAATGAACCCCCCCCCCAAAATATCCTATCCATGGCACCCCTGCTTGGCTGTCCTAAATGCAAGACAGAGGCTTCCTTTAGGGAGTCGATCCAGGTCTTCTTTTGCCTTCGATTTTCCCTCAGTCTGTTAGCAAGTCTCTTGCTTCAGCACTTTCTTTAGTTTGCAACGTGGAGGAAATTTACAACACATAGTAAAGATGCACTCTCCAAAAATAAATACTGGCAAAAGGGCATAAGGCATATGCAGGTTTAGAGAGATAAGGACTAACTCCCAGCATGCCCCAGTCAACTCCCATCATTCCCACGCTAAAAAGTCAAAGGCTAGACAAAGTCACTTGAGAGTTGTAATTCTGCCTATAGCTTCTTAAGAAAATGGCACTTTTCTCTCCTTCTGAGAAAGCCTGAAAGCTTTCCCGTGCCCCTTCCCCCTCCCACACTAGTTGTGAGCAGGAAAGATGCAAGGTTGAAGCATAGGGTTTGTGTCTGTCAAGTGTGCAATTCGCATGGCCTTGGAAGGTTGAATTCTGCAGGTGAAGCTTCTTCTGGAAATAAGGGGAAGGAGGCAAGTTCACCTACCAAATGAAGGGAACTGAGGCTCCTAAAGAGATAACACTCAGAATAAGAGGACCCAACAGCTTTCTTCTTCTTTCACGGGGGGCAAAGGAACTTTTATAACTGTGAGTCACAGTGAGGAGAAATTCAAAACAACACAGTTATTTATCTATTCATTTATGCAACTTTTTTATATCCTGCCTTCTTCCAGTTCTGGAACATAGGGCAGCTAGTAACATAAACACCATCGTAGCCACCAATAATCTAAATTGAACACCCTTCTTAATTACAATACTAAAATATTAAAATACAATAATGCAGAAGCAGTAACTCTGGCTATGACCACATCTCCTGGCCGTTCCATCTTCAAACGGAGCCCAGTGCACTGAATGGTCAATGAAATAGGCAGAGTCCTGGATGGTTTCATGGCTGAAAAGGCTGCCCGTCCCTTTGCATCTCATCTCGACAGCTGCAGTCTTAACAGTTACATCTGATCTAGGCTTCCTTTTGCATCTCCATGGAAGTGTATTCTACCTTGCTATGGCTGGAGGAGAGCTTTCTTTGACAAGCATATTTGGGATATTTGGGAACAATGACGCAAATCACGGATCACAGTTCCAGCGTCTACGCCAAATTTGATCGTGCCACGGTGTGTAATTGTCAATATCCACATGAGGTGGAGAAGAAGTAGGCTGGTTTCATTCTGGAGAACCACAAGAGGGATTGGGAGAGTTGGTGGATACTATTTTGATTAAATGAAGAACGTTATTTTCCCACAGCTTGCTTGGAGTCTCTGTACGACAGAAATCTGTCGGATCCCACCGAGGGTTAACTGATCGTGAGCGGTACAAGTCATGACTACGGATTGATCGGGGTTCCCATTCATCTGCTGGCAACCCCATGTGCTAAGGTTATGGCGTGATTAGCATATCATATCAATTATTCAAAAATGGCTCTGTTATTCAAGAATTGTTCAAAGTCTGCAACAACCTACACTAAGAGTGAACTTGATGGACTGATTTCTTATCAGTAGTGGAGTGAAGTGAGGGCTCTGTCAGAGATTTCTGAAGCCTTGGAGGGAATCCCTAGGTATGCAGGGAATGCTAGCTTTGAAAGGAAACAGAAATAACCTTTAACGCAGCAAGACAAGGATTGAGAGTGGGCATTAGCCTCTTGGACACTTGAGCAATAGTGCAAAGAGGGAAAAGGGAAGGCAACGGCACAGGGGATCAGGCTTGGCCTCCTCAAGCCCCTAACAACTTTTAGGATCACAGAGAGGTGAATCTGCTTAGGACCATAAAGTATGCACCCTTTAAAGTCCCTTGCCTTCCCTTTCAGTCCATGATGCTATGCAATTTAAGGGCTCTGAGAACACTGATGCTAAAGATACTGGCATATCGTAAGATAAATTACCATATTTTTCGCTCTATAAGACGCACTTTTTCCCCCTGAAAAGTAAGGGGAAATGTCTGTGTGTCTTATAGAGCGAATATGTGCGTGCAGGAAGTCTGTCCAAAGTGCAGCATGGTGTGCCCGACGCCCAGGACATGTAAGACCACCGCCGGGACGCTGCCGGCCCACCTGCACCACGTGGCACCACCTGGCCGGCACGCTCTCGGCACGCCCTGCTCCGCCCGCCCCTCCGGCGCAGGTGAGAGCTGTGCCGCTCAGGGGGAGCGGTGCGGAGGAGGAGGAGCCGCGGGCTTTAACCTGCCGGCTGTCACGGAGAGACAGACTGGGACGGACTGCCCACCCCACCGCCCACAGGTCGGTGTGTGTTTTCAAATGGTCGTGGCGAAGAGCGTGGGACTGGGACTCAGGCAATCCGGGTTCAAGTCCCCGCTCGGCCATGGAGCCAACTGGGTGACTTTGGGCCACTCACAGACTCTCAGCCCAACCTACCTCACAGGGTTGTTGTTGTGGGGATAAGATGGAGGAGGAGAATGATGCAAGCTGCCTTGAGCCCTTTGAGGAAAAAGGCAGGATATAAATCGCAAGAAAAAAAAAAAGTCTTTTAATGAAGCCCATGGGGAAATGATGGGGAATGTGCCTGTGATTATCAGGAAGCTTTCCATGGATCAGAACGGTGTCTGCTTTATAGAAGGACCAATATCTGTTAGTTGATCAGACACATTTTTTTTAGGATCAGTGGATATTTGAACAGCATTACCTTCATGTATGAAGTTTATTCTTCAAATGCTACTTAGTCCGCTGTGTGTTTGATTTACCGTACAGTATCTCATTTTTTGTCAGAAGTTTTTTTCTATTGTTTACTAGTAGGGCAGCGTGGACATTACTGGCTTTTTTAGATTTGTTATTGAATTGTCTGCAGCAGCTCTTGTATAACTGGTGTAGATTGTGGATTCCTTCAATAATTCCACTACGGACTAAGAAAGTGATGTCAGTGATTGTGAGCAACAGAGCTTCATAAATTCTGACTCTAGCGATGATGAGTTCTATGGGTTCAACAAAAACTAGAAGAGTACTCAAACTTTAAAGTCTCTCTTCTGTTAATGACAGTGATGATGGTTCTTAATGCCGCTGTTGACTGCTGTTCACTTTGCAAGGTTGAAATACGGTATTACTGTATTCTGTTTATTAAATAGTTTAGTGAACCATTTGATTATTAAATGGTTTAGTGAAGCATTTGATTCAGAATATTTTTTTTCTTGTTTTCCTCCTCTAAAAACTAGGTGCGTCTTATGGTCAGGTGCGTCCTATAGAGCGAAAAATACGGTAAATGCATAAAGTTCACAGAATGTAACTTAGCACCTTCCTAAATTTGGCAGCCACTTGGACCCCCAGAAAAATCTCTCCAGAGGATCAGGGAGACCTCAGGAACGATGTGGGATGGAGAAAAGGAACCATTACAGGGTGGACAGAGGCGATGCAAAGCTTTCCTGCCACAAACTTCCTTAAGTAAACTTGGGATGCAGCCCTGCTCAGCCAAAACACCCCAGAGGAAAAGTGTGGAACTGTCCCATCTGATTTTTGCAAACCCCAGGTAACGTGTGTTGCCAGTGCAACAGGATTTCCCTGTGACCAGATCTCAGAACAAAGTGATCATGTCTGAATTACAGAGCTATATGGGAACAGGAGGAATCCACTGGAACGTCTCATGCCAAGCGCAGTAGCTCTCACAGAGAAAAAAATGTCACCATGCATTACACCCATGTAATCCTGGGGGTGCCTTGCGATGGTCATCATCCAAGCATTACTGGTGTAGTGAAAGTTCAGCTCACAGAGAAGGAGAATTAAGCAGGACTAGTTACAGCCGTTCCAGCTGCATTCAAGTACAGTCTGCGTGGCACGGTAATAAATCTTTGGACAAGCAAAGTGGAGAGATGTGAAATAGTGGCTCACACAGCATAAGCTGATCAGGTCAGGGAAAGTAGAAGCTGCATGGTGAAAAGGCAGCGCCAACCCCTTGAAAAGAGCTTTTTTCTACACAGTGTCCTAATCCAGACCCGGTGAATTAAGTGGGTCTGCAAGTCTGTAGTGCAGCAAATCTCAAGCATACAGGCTTCCAAATGAAGTACTTTGAAATGCAGAAGAAGACTTCTGCATTTTTCAGACGATCTCTGAAAAAGGAGACCACAAATGTTTTGCAGTCCCGATTTTTATTTTATACTAGCAATTGGATCCAGATTCACACAGGACGGAACGGTCTTTCGTCTGATGCAGCAAAGCCTTCAAGCAAACTTTCAGAGTTGCCAGATTTGGGCAACCTGAGTCTGTCAGTCTGTCTGTCTGAAGGGAGTGATGCCCACTGCCAATCCTGGGCACAGCCCCAACTGTGATGGATTTTTGTGGGTCCACCTCCTCTATTCCCCCCAGAGACTTCATCATTGCAAGGCCTAATGCTCTGTCCATCAAGGCTATACAGACTGGCTCTGTGTCAGTGAGGGAAACCTGAAGATGTGGCTGAAGAGGTTAGGACAGGCTTCAATTACACGGACACAAGGAAACTGATTAACAGTAGTATGTTCCAAAAGCACTATA